TTTTGTGTTTACTCGTGTTATATTTGACTAACGGTTAAATGTGTTTGATGATCAGAAACATTTTGTGTGACAAACATGCAAAAGAATAAGAAATCAGGAAGGGGGCGAACAGTTTTTCACACCACTGTATTTGATGCCCAGTTGTTGAAAAATGTTGGCAGCTTTGTAACATATAACCATAAAAATCAGGTAAAAAATGCATCGGCGCAGGTCGAAGTCTCTTTTATTCTACGTGAGCCCGCGAGGACAAAACACTTTTAAGTGATTTATAACCAACCGTAACAAAACTTTCAACATTCATAAACGTTGTTTTACATATTTACGTCTTTGCTTGTTGCCAATGCTGGAGGTTGAACGATCTGACAAAGTAATCATTAGAAAATGGGGCTCCCGGGGATTTTTGACCCTAATGACCATCCGTTGATAAGGTCTTACTCAAACACAAAAATACAGCTTGTTCGCATGATTTAGGTGTGTACTGCCACCTATCACCAGGGAAAGTACACACCAAGGTACATTGGGTACAGAAAGTGTTCAGACCCCCGTCAACTTTTCTCTCTTTGTTATATTGTTTTATATGTTTTTATTTTTTAATGTTTATTTCTGCTGTGCAGTGCTTTGTTTGGTCCCTGGAGCCATGTGAAGGCGCTATATAAATTAAGTTTTAGTTAATTAGTTAGTTGGATATTGCAGCCGTTTACTAAAATCTATTAAATTCATTTCTCCCTTCATTACATGCGGCTCATTCACAAATGAGTGGCGGTACGAACATGACGCTGCACCACAATATTTTTGCCTCCCATGCCTACCTTTAAAAAACATTTTAACGCTTAGCGTTGCCATCAGCCAGCAAATTCCCCTTGTAAACTGAAGCTGTCACTTTGGTGCCTTCAAAGCCAAATGGGCTCCACAGTAATTTCACCTGGCGAGCATGGGAGGCGCTGATAAGGTAAAGTCCAAAGCATCTTCTAAATGACTCCAGAGACATTGCCGAGTGTGGATAAGCATTCCGTATGCTGGGGAATCCACTTTAACGCTGATGCAGAGCTACAACGCAGCTAAAACTCGGCTCATAACTAACGAGAGGTGGACCTAAGGATAATCCCTTGTTTTGCCCTCAGATTATGAGAATATTGTTTTTCTATCTAAAATAAAATGTTCTGTCTGCCTACATTTATAACATTTCACTCTGATTCAACTCAGAGCTGCTTATAATTTCCCACAGTAATCCTCACCATATGAAACACACACACACACACACACACACACACACACACATCTCACGACGTCAGTGTAATCCTCACTATAACACTTAAGTCCCTTTGTAGTATCAAAAATCTGTGAAGCGCATCTAGAGTGTTTACATCTAGGATTAAATAAATGCGATATTAAAATTGGACCTCACATAACGTGAAAAACACCCATCTGTAATGAAGTAAATTTACGTCTAATTAAGGACCGTGAGACGTTAAGATTCCTTATGGGCTGCATGGTGGCGCAGTGGTTAGCACTGCTGCCTCGCAGCACGAAGGTCGCAGGTTCGAAACTCGGCTGCAGCCTTTCTGCGTGGAGTTGTGTGTTCTCCCCGTGCACGCGTGGGTTTCCTCCGGTTTCCCCCACAGATCACAACATGCCCTATAGGTTATAAGTTGTAAGTCGCTTTGGATAAACGCGTCTGCTAAATAAATAAACATAAGTACAAATATATATTTTCTAAATATGTAATGTTTCTGTGTTTTTAGGAAATCTAAGAAACTTCTCTCCGACCTTTGGAGCATCTCCGACAAGCCGTCCCTCACAAAGTGGCTGCAGTCAAACTCTTGACATCTGAGGGATATTTTCACCTAGAATAAAAAATGTGTTTGGTGATTAAATAAAGAAAAATGTCAAATGTTCTCTAGTCAAGTGTTAGATTTCTGTAATCGGTTTATTTTTTATTAAATGAGCAAAATGGAACAAAGTCAGAATGCAACATATGATTTAGTTCAAGTGTTAGTACTGCTTAAGATGAAACTGTTAACACAAATAAAAATAGATGCATAACTAAACCAGGGGCGGCTCCAGAAAGTTTCTAAAGGGGTGGACGGATGAGGCCCACCCAAATCTTGGGGGGGGGGGGGACACAATGAGCTGACAAGTCAAACAGTTATGACTGGCATGATGCACCGAACATCTGTTCACAGAGTTTATTTATACCAAGAGATAGAGAGAGAGAGCGAGAGATTGTGTGTGTGTGTGTGTGTGTGTGTGTGTGTGTGTGTGTGTGTGTGTGTGTGTCATGCAAAGAGGCATAGAGCAATACATATTACATTCAGTTGATTGAGTCCATGATGAAGGATTAATAAACATACATTTTCCATAACGTTTCTGGAACCCTTTAGTTCTGAGACCACCTTGTGAGGGTTGGTGACCTATGATACTCAGCTTTACCTCACAGTAAGCAAAATGGAAAAACCTGTGTAAATAAAATTGTAAATTGTAAAAAAAACTAAACAAACGAAGCCAATGTCAGGAAACTTTGTGGCCAAATTGTGACGTGAACAATTTGCATGATGTTTGCACAAATGTAGTTGCAGTATTAACATGAAAAAAGGGTTTATTTCGGTTGGAGTCCAACAGAAAATTTGCATAACTTCTTACAATTTTGTGTCTGAAACTCACCAACTTTTTACTGCCCACCTAAATAAATGCTCAAGGACTAACTAAATGTGACTTAAGCACAATTGCTTTTTGCTGCTCCTCTTCAGGGGCAGTTCTAGGGAGGGGCCAAGGTGGGCCAGTACCTATAGGTATACCACCCTAGCAGCAAGCTTGGACCCCCCCCCCCCCCCCCACTGAGGGTGTAACATAATGCAATAATATACAAAGAACGCATTTATATGAAATTGAAACAGTTACACAAATAATTTCATGCTGTCACTGAGATAAATTACTCAGAAAATGCATTTTTTGCTAAATAGTTATATTTTGAAACCAATAGAAATGCTGTTGTAGCTAAAGTAACTGAATTGCTGTTATTATATTAATACATTTTGAAATTCCTAAAGGCATGTTTGTAGTGTTTTCTTACAAATGTTTCTAACAGATCAGCTGCAGCCTGATGCCCCCCCCCCCCCCCCCCCATGTTAGTCTAGAACCGCCCCTGCGAGTGTTTAAAGGACAGACCAGTGAGTTCAAAATAGGTTTGTGTTAGAAGAGCAAATATCCTTAGAGGCTGACGGACACCCAGTGGGTATAGATTATTGTGAGCTATGGTGCAAAACATGTCTGAAGAAACCAAGACGCTTGAGATGTTTCCAGCTTCTTCAAACTTCATATTTGAAGCTGCCCTCGCATAATTAAGGACCTATTGAGAACTTGGTGGCCCTTTTCAACACAGTTTTTGATATTTACAGGTGTTTTGGAGTTGATAGGTGACAAAACCCCAAAAAGTTTGAGCTTATTGATGAGCAGAAATAAATCTCTCCTCTGATAAAATCTACCAAGGACTCTTCTTTGTGTTTATCTCGCCCTCCCTTCCAACTCTCGCTCCGCCTTTAATTCCGCCAACTCCAAGATCAGCGCGAATCACGGAGAGGGAGAAAGACAGAGAGACCTAGTGTGAAAGAGAGAGAGGGAGCGTTAACCGCTGTCAAAGCCGATTACAGCCTCGGCTCTGGCTCTATACCTGTGTGCGCGCTTGAGCTTTATTTTTTATCCATGCGCGACAGTAGTCCCTCTAAAGAACGGCATCATGGGTTTATTCTAGAGCTTGGTGGGACCGAAGCATCAATTATGAGTTTCCCTGCAGAGGCGCTTCCGTCAGCGGGGCAACTTTTCCGTGCGCCACGGCGCCACTGAGACGCTACTCGGCGGGAGAAAGTTTACCTGCGACCCGCAGCGACATGGACTCGCGGTGAAAGCCCCGGCTTTCCCACTTTCCTCTCCTCTCGGAGCCGCTCAGGGCAAAATGCAGAAGAGCGTCCGCTACAACGAGGGGCACGCGCTGTTTCTGTCGGTCGTCGCGCGTAAAGAGGGCACCAAGCGCGGCTACCTGTGCAAGAAGACGGCGGAGAACAGTCGGTGGCACGAGAAGTTCTTCGCTCTGTACCAGAATGTACTGTTCTACTTCGAGAACGAGCAGAGCGCGCGCCCTGCTGGGATTTACCTGTTGGAAGGATGCACCTGCGAGCGCGCGCCGGCGCCCAAGATGTCAACGACCGGGAAGGAAGCGCTGGAGAAACAGGTGAGCTGGTTTATGAGGAGAGATGAGGTGAAGTCACCACATTTGAATCTTTTCAGAAAGTTCTGATCAGATCTCACCGGGGCTGTGTGAGAAACGGGTTCACAGATTTCTGAGTAAAGTTGGCGTTTATTATTGCTAAAAAATATTTTTTAAATGCTTTCGCGAGTCTAAGAAGCAGCAGCGCTGCCGCACACCCTCTGCTCTCTTGCTCCCTGCAGCAAGAAGTTGCAGGTTCCTCCTCCCACAGCAGGTGATCACCCAGCAACAATTCGCCAGGGAGGAGAAATCCACCCATCCATTTGCTGAACCCGATCAGGGGCGTGTCCAGGGAGTGGCCTGGGGTAGCACATGCTACCCTTGGAATTTGATTGGCCATCCCAGGTGCCACCACACTAATTTACCTTTAAATCGGCTTTTCATTGTCCACAAAAGGATTGGGGGTAAAACAAAAAACAGCATAACCATTGGTGCCACCCATGCACAAAGTTGTGCCTCACCTGGGCTACCCCATTGTAAAACATCTGGACACGCCACTGAACCCGCTTTGTCCACGTAGGGTCAGGGGGGGGGGGGGGGGGGGGGGGGGCTAGTGCCTATCTCCAGCAGTCAACCGGCAATCAGGCGGGGTTTACCCTGGACAGAGAGCCAGTGCAACACAGAGACACACAGGACAAACACACACACACACACACACACACACACACACAAGGACAATTTAGACAGACCAATCAACTTAACAGTCATGTTTTTGGACTGTGGGAGGAAGCCGGAGTACCCGGAGAGAACCCACGCATGCACAGGGAGAACATGCAAACTCCAGCTGCAAAGAGGCTAAAGTGCAGGCTTAATAAACTTCAGTATAAACAAAGTTTAGCCAAGATAGTCCAGTTTCTTGAATAACAATAGCTTCAACATGGTTTTCAGTAAAATTGGAGCCATAAATTACTTAACCCTTTGGTGCATAATGGTCACTACAGTGGACAGGTACTCAAAATTGTTATTTATTTGTTTTTGCTATTAAGTACAGCTGTTGAAGACTTTATTGCATTTGAGCCCCTCCATTTGGACTTCAGTAAGCCAAGCCAACATATTTCATGCTCAGAATGCACGCTGTCCACTGAGGTGGGCATGTAACAAATTAAATGGTAAGTGGCCTGTATTTGTTATAGCGCCTTCTAGAGTCCTGGAACCCCCCAAGGTGCTTTACAACACAATCAGTCATTCACCCATTCACACACACATTCACACACTGGTGGGGATGAGCTACGATGTAGCCACAGCTGCCCTGGGGCGCACTGACAGAGGCGAGGCTGCCGAGCACAGGCGCCACCGGTCCCTCCGACCACCACCAGCAGGCAACGTGGGTTAAGTGTCTTGCCCAAGGACACAACGACAGCGACAGACTGAGCGGGGCTCGAACTTGCAACCTTCCGATTGCGGGGTGAGCACTTAACTCCTGTGCCACCGTCGCCCCATAATTTGTAAATTATAAAATTTAACAAAAAATATTTATTGAAATTTGTTTCATTCACACCTAAAGACAAATGAAAAAAAGTGTTAAAATCATGGTTGAAGATTTCATAATTCATGCATCAAAGGGTTAAGAGGCTGAGTGACTTATTTAATGTTAGATTGATACATAAGAGCATGTAATTGATACGGAAACCTCAGTAAATGAAAAGGATAAAATTGGACAAGCATAATAAATTTTCTCATTTAATGTGAATTTTTGATGGCGCTAACACTTCTTTAGTTCTATTTATGTTTCTTTTTAGTTAAAAACGACAATTTGTGTGTAAATAGATGGTAATTTGATCAGATAATTGCACAGGCTATTGGAAACGTGAACAGCAGAGCAAACATTACATAACACAATGCAGATCGCAGTCACAGACATGACCGCATGAAACAATCATTTCTCTGCCCCATTACACACTTCTCCCAGTCTGAATGTATTTTTCGATGTTGAGGTTTGCTGACACCCCGGCTGGCAGGTCATACACCTGCTTCAGCAGCACGTTAGTTTCCCTCTTTCCTATTCACTCTCTCTCTCTTTCTTTACATTTTTAAATGCAATTGTCTATTTTTTGCGCTTTTTAAATATATTTTTAATCATTTTCTAAATTCTTTTGTATATTTTACATTTTTTGTGAAGCGCCTCGTGATTTTTATCTTGAGAGGTGATAAAGACAAGATCATTTCTTCTTCTTTACCTCTCTTCTCATCTCGACATGAAGAGAGTTTTAAATGTTTTACAATTAAAGGAAATTTTGTTGTATGAACCAGTTAGTCCAACAAAAAAAAAAAAAACGGTCTAAACTATGCAATAAATACATGGTTTTAAAGCCAGTTCCAAACAAACAGATTATTCATGTTGAAACCACATAAAAACTGCGTGGAAAATCTTAAAACATGCAGTACAGATAACTCCTGGTGATTTACTGATAAGATGTGAGCACAGTTTGCAGAAAGTAGCTAAGGTGTCACATGTTTGTATTCAAATGCTCCCAAGTGAAATTTGTATAGTATAATATAGTGTAGTATAGCATAGTGTAGTCTAGTGTAGTGTAGTATAGTATAGTGTAGTCTAGTGTAGTGTAGTATAGCATAGTGTAGTCTAGTGTGGTGTAGTATAGTATAGTGTAGTCTAGTGTAGTGTAGTATAGTAAAGTGTGGTGCAGTATGGTATAGTATAGTAAATATAGTATAGTGTAGTATAGCAAAGTGTAGTCTAGTGTAGTGTTGTATAGTAAAGTGCAGTCTAGTGTGGCGTAGTACAGTATAGGCCAGTGTAGTGCAGTGCAGTATGGTATAGTATAGTATAGTAAAGTGTAATATAGTGTAGTATTGTATAGTATAGTCAAGTGTAGTATAGTGTGATAGTGTAATGAGGGTATAATATTGCTACTTTTAAGCTTAACATATTACCTTTACTTGTGACCAATAAGATGTGATATTCTATATAGATATAGGGTATCAACCTGATTGGTCTTTGAATGTTTAATCAGAAGAATTAGGATTCTTTGCTTTTTCAGTGATCATAACACACTTTATATTAATTCAGACAGAGTCAAGTTTATAAAAAGTAAGACTTTTATTTTCTAAACAAATTAAAAACATGACAACTAGGAAACAACTTCATGTGTTGGATGAATCCAAGCGGATGGAATGTGAGGTGTGATGATGTGTGAATGTTATGTTATCAGAACCCTCGTATCTGAAGAAACTGAGTTCTGAGTGGGAGTGAATTTGGTCTGCTATAAGCTAACAAAGTTGGTTCTTATCAAAACCACATCAGACGCAGTCATGCTGTGTCTACCTCATCCATTTTGGAGACCCTCTTCACGGGTCCAGAGGTCAGGAAGGTCGGATGACCTCTGGGCACCGAGGTTCAGTAGATCAACCGCAGCACCGACTACTCCAGTCCAGAGATGTCACCAGGCACAACAGGTTGGAACAAGTTTGCGTCTAGAACAGCTGTTTCTGAGTAGCTGAAGGAGCAAGTTTCTGTCGCTGCAGGCAGCTTTTGGCTTGTCGAAAGCTTTGATAGTTCAAAGTCCCTTCAGGATTGGCCACTCCCAAGGTGTACTTGAACTGAACTGAGCTTGAGCTGAGCTTGAACTGAATCACTCAGGAAGTGAGTTCTGTTTTAATTATTCTCGTATTATGATTGTGCAGCCAACCAGGACTTGACATGTAAAGAGGTGTTAACAAACAAACAAACAAACCTCAGAATCACACCTCTCCCAGATACAGGATGCTCTGATTTGTGGATAAGAAAATATCTATGTGTCATGAAATTACTTTAACCTTGTGTATGAGGGCATGGCTGATTAGCTCGTCACGTAGACTGGTTATCAGACAAATGGATCATTGCCGGACAATATTAATTTCAACCTTATTAATCTAAGCACAGATTAATCAAAACATTTCATTTAACCATATTGCTCATTCGTTATATGATTAATTAACTCATATGAGCTGAAAATGTTCACTTTTATTCAGAGACAGGAGGAATCCTGTAGAAGCGATAAGAGAAAGTTTAAGGCCTTCAACCGGGAACAGTTTGTTGACACTATGCTATCCTGTGTTCAAAGCTGCAGAGGCTTGGACTCCAGCTGATAGAATAGCCAGATCCAGTAGATTAAAGGCAATAATGCAGATTCCTGTCTCCTTATGACCGGATACTGAAGAGGTCAACTGTAGATGAAAAACTGACCTTTTCTGTACGCCACACTAGTAAAGTGCAGTCTGGTATAGTATAGTAAAATGTAGTGCAGTGCAGTATGGTATAGTATAGTATAATAAAGTGTAATATAGTGTAGAAATGTATTACAGTATATAGTAACGTCTAGTATAGTGTGGTGTAGTATAGTATAGTGTAAATGGTAAATGGCCTGTATTTGATATAGCGCCTTCTAGAGTCCTGGAACCCTCCAAGGCACTTTACAACACAACCAGTCATTCACTCATTCACACACTGGTGGGGATGAACTATGACATAGCCACAGCTGCCCTTTGGCACACTGACAGAGGCAAGGCTGCCGAGCACTGGTGCCACCGGTCCCTCTGACCACCACCAGCAGGTAACGTGGGTTAAGTGTCTTGCCCAAGGACACAACGACAGCGACAGACTGAGCGGGGCTGGAACCTGCAACCTTCCGATTACGGGGCGAGCGCTTAACTCCTGTGCCACTGTCGCCCACATAGTCACCCACATAGTGTGTAATGTAGTATAGTGTAGTGTAGTATAGTATAGTAAAGTGTAGTCTGGTGTAGTATAGTATAGTAAAGTGCAGTCTACTGTAGTGCAGTATAGTATAGTATAGTATAGTAAAGTTTAGTATAGTGTGGTGTAGTATAGTATAGTATAGTATAGTATAGTAAAGTGTAGTATAGTGTGGCATAGTATAGTATGGTACAGTAGAGTGTAACATAGCATAGCATAGCATAGTGTAGTATACCTATAATGCAAATATAAAGAAGGTGTCAATCTTCAT